TCGCTCCTTTTTGTCTATCCAAAGTGTACGCTTCTGCTTAAGAGTAATATTTTTCGAAATTGTTGACTAATTTTCAATTATTATTCTCTTTTTAGACTACATAACTGTTTTATTTTCCCATAAGATCATTCACAGAAATACAACTTATACAATCGAAATACTTACAAATATTTACACATATTTGAAACCATCGAATCGATCAATGTTAGACCACCATTAGAAACCTGGAAGCACTGAAAGACGGCCGTTTCGTCCTGGTATGGGACAGTAACTGTAGACAGTAACTACCGAAGATTGTGTATGAGGTTGCGCAACTCCGTGAATTGATTAAGTTAGACATCTAACACCGTTAGATACCGGCTCAGTGGTCCGATGGTTAGGCGTTCGTGCACAATGCCGAAGGTCCTGGGTTCGAATCCCGCGGGGTGCAGGAGTCATGGATGCGCACTGCTGATGAGTAGTCCCGTACCAGGACGAAACGGCTGTCTCTCAGAGCTTCCAGGTTTCTAATGGTGGTCTAACATTAATCGATTCATGGTTTCAAAAATGTGTAACTTAACAATTCTTCACAACCCCGTAATTACAAATATTTATCATACCAATAAAACTCTCCACTGTTTACCTAATAACACGTGTGAGTGACTATTTTCCAACCACATACATGTTTGGAAAATCACCTCTTCGTTAACTGTATAATGTAGTCAAAAACTCTCATCAAAAGTACACAACACATTTGTTGTGAGGCTAAACAGTAGAAAAGAATGTCAACACACTCACTAAAAGGTGGTTGATATAATTTTCATACTTGTCAGTTCTTTGGAGAAAAATTAGATCAGAATTCATCATAAGCTAACTGTACTTAATTGGAATCGGACATTAGGCATTCGATAATGTAATCATCTTGATTATGTAAGAATGTCAAAAACAAAGTGATTTTTTAACAGAATTAAACATATAAAAAATTGTGTTTTCTTTAGAGTTTCAGAATAAACGCATTGAATGTTACTTACGAGGATATAAGGCTCTAAATTTATGTGATATACAAAAGTATAGTTTATGGAACTGTGTATTCATTAACCGAAAATAAATACACATGTGCAACTAATCAACCTATTCCATTATTTAAACGTTTTTGGATATGACTTTTTAGAACTTTGAACGTGAATAAACTCATGATTTATTCATCCTATTGTCTAAAGCTTCTGAAAATTCGTACTTACTTACTTACTTACTCCTGTTACCCCCCAAATTGGACAAGTATTCTCAAACCTACTCTGTTCTGAGATTCCCTTTCTAGTTCTGTACAATTCTCGTTCATACCTCTTATGTCTGCCTACATTTCTCGGCGTAGTGTATTCCTTGGTCTTCTTATTTTCCTTTGACCTTGACGGTTCCAAGTGAGAACTTCCGTTTTGACAAAGTTGTGTACTTTCCACAATTTGTGTCCAATCCACTTCCTGAGCTTCCTCTTTCACTGGAAACTGGTTTATTCAGTCTCATAGTAGGTTGACGCTGATAGTGTCTTCTGACCAATGAATCCGAAGTATTTTGCGTAAACAACTGTTAATAAACACTAGTATCTTTTGAATGATGATTTTCATAGTTTTCCAAGTTTCCACCCTATACAGTAGAATTAACTTGATATTTGTATTAAAAATTCTGACTATGGTGTTGATTGATAGTTGTTTGGAGTTCCAGATGTTCTTTAATTATGATAATCCGTACATATATATATATATATACATATATATATATATATATATATATATATATATATATATATATATATATATATATATATATATATATGTCTACTAACGTATCATACGATAACAGTTGTTAGCAATGTCTAGTCTGTTTAATTACACTTAAAAATCACAGTGATAGTCACAATGAGTGGAATCATGAATAAATAAATACATATTATATTACTTGACAAAGAAAACTCATTATTAAAGAAATTCTATGCAGAAAAATAACTAATCTACTATTACTACTACTACTTAATTCACGCTTCAGTAGTTTTTAAATTTGTCTCGTAAAAATTAACTACCAAATATATATGATGCATACAATGATCAGTTGATGTTTTGTACATTCACTATGGAATCTCATATGGATAGATAGATGAAAATTTTCTAATGAATTATAATCAGAATATTCAAATTTCCCTCAAAATAAAATTGTTAAATTATTCAATAGATTTTAAACAACAAAACAAAACAAAAAAATAAGAAACATCTAAATATAAAAAGTTAATAAATAATTCATATGAAATAGAATCAATGATTTTTTTATCCTTTATCTGATGATAAAAATTAGAAATTAGAAATCTTTGCATTTCTAATGATGAATTTATCTATATGACTTCCATTGAATGTCGTGAATTGAAAATTGATAAGAATTCGATTCTGTTTTTCAACTGTGTAAGCATGATTAGTTTTGTTATTTTAAAAACAAGAATAAATATTTGAAATGAATCAAAATTACATTGATTTCATACTATTTTTTTACGCTCTAATTAGTTATTATTTGCAGCATTTTAGTATTTGAAAAAACTAGAAATTATATGGTGAGTTTGTGAAATATTGATTAAAATGAATATGGCTGAATGGTATTGTGAGTTTGTCTTAGCAGATTAGTTACAATCTGCTTAAATGAACTTGAGAAACTGGATAAAATATAATATAAATAATTTACCTAATTACTTACTTACTTACTTACTTACTTACTTATGCACTTACTTACCTTACTTACTTACTTACTTACTTACTTACTTACTTACTTACTTACTTACTTACTTACTTACTTACTTACTTACTTACTTACTTACTTACTTACTTACTTACTTACTTACTTACTTACTTACTTACTCCTGTTACTAACAATGGAGCATAGGTCGCCGGCTAGTATTCTCCAACCTACACTATCCTGGGCATCCCTTTACAATTTTGTCCAATTTTTAATCATTCTTCTCATGTCTGTCCCAATTACTCGGGGTAATGTGTTTTATGATCTTTCTCTTTTTCATTGAGCTTGAGGATTCTAGCTGTGGGCTCGCCTTGTGCTTTCCTTAATGTGTGTCCTAAGCACCTCCGGCGTTTCCTTTTGATATTTTCCTCTAATGGATTTTGGTTTGTTCTCTACAGTAGTAGGTTGCATAAATAATGTAAGCCAAAGAGTATTTCTTAATATTGGTATTGACAAGAGACAAAAAGGTTTGAGAAATAAATCGTTCTGAAATAAATAAATGCTAATGACAAGTGAGCAATAAAATACGTAAAACTTAGTTAAGTTACCGTTGATATTTATTTTCCGATAATTTGTCACAAAACGAGGTAATGTTATGACAAGCTAATTAAATGAGCAAAATTTCTTGGGGCTTCATCGAAGTAACTTCAGTGAATTTCATGAAATTAGAGCTTAATTATTTATTACCAGTCTTGAAAAGTTTCTGTCTAAGATACATTTAACTACTGTAATGTTTAGCCTCCTTATTTTTCTTTAGGAAAGACCCTATAAAATATGACCTCTTCTTTCTATTTATACCGTGTTCATTATAAAGGAAACTATGTGTACGGGAAAATTTAATTGTAAATTATAACTTTTTAAGTTTAGTCAACTGTGATCGTATCATTAAACGGTTTCTGGGAATTTAACTCAATTTTATGATCAGTTACGTTGACACCTTTACATATCTGGGCAGCATCATCGACAATCAAGGTGGATCCGATGCAGATGTGAGAGCGTGTATTGTCAAAGCAAGGATTGCATTTCTACAACTGAAAAACATTTGGAACTCAAAATAAATATCAATCAGCACCAAAATCAGGATTTTCAATACAAATGTCTAGACAGTTCTACTGTATGGAGTGAAAACTTGGAAAACTGTCACGGCCATCAACCCGAAGATATCAGTATTTATTAACAGTTGTCTACGCAAAATACTTCGAATTCATTGGCCAGACACCATCAGTAACTAACTACTGTGGGAGAGAACAAACCAGGTTCCAGTAGAGGAGGGAATCATGAAGAGGCGATGGAAGTGATTAGAACACACCCTGAGGAAAGCATCGAACTGCGTCACGAGACAAGCCCTCACTTGATTCCCTCAAGGACAAAGGAAAAGAGGAAGGATGAGGAACACATTATGCCGAGAAATGGAGACAGAAATGAGAAGAATGATCAAAAATTGGACAAAATATGAAAGAGATGCCCATGAAAAAGTAGGTCGTAGAATACTGGTTGGCGGCCTACGCTACATTGTGGGTAACAGGCGTCAGTTTTATTACAGAGTAGAACCATTTCACTTATATTGTTCAATGAAGTTGTTTCGTCCAACTGCAGGACTGTTTTTTAGGACGCTTTCATCATAAAATGGTGAATCAATAGATTAGCTGAATCATTTCGTCCGTTGATCATTGTCAAACGAATCTTATCCACAATAAGGAAACTGATCAATTTAATTACTAGTGAAACTGTCATACTGTCTATATTAAACTTCCATCATTTCAGTATTTTCCCAGTGTGATATAAATCAGTGACAGAAACCAGTCATGCATATTATTTATTTAAAACAATTTCATATTGTAAACCTTGGTTGAAATTATAGTTTAGCTTTGGAAAACAAAACTACTCATTTGTATGAGCTAATGAATAAAGCCTAAAAAGAAAATCAAGAAAGTAACTTTGTGATTATTTAGTATTGTTGGGGATGTTAGATCCCCAAAATTCGCATGATAATGCCGTATTTTGGTTTTTACGTTTCGCCAGCAGGGGCTGATCAAATGACCTTGAGATTTCAATTCCCACCAGGAAAATCAATGGCTGTGATTGGCCACAGTGTATTTTAGTATGCTATTTTCTTAACTGTCTCAAGGACGTTGTTATGTTGTATAAATAAACGAGAGTTGTATGCTTGATTGTACTGGGATTGCTGGGTGTTTGTAGAATATACTTTCTACGCTTACCAAGACTTCTGTTTTACCGTTGGATTCAAGGTAGCCTTCCTGGAAGCTGGTAAAAGTATCGTTCGCGTTTATCGACTAAGGTAAACTCGTAATAGCATCAAGCATACTACTAAGTGCCGAACATATCAGTGGCGACGGGGTAAAAACCATATCCACAAAACATATCAGTGGCGACGGGGCTCACAATTCACAATGTCAATTAACCTTGAACAGTTAGAATCTTTACTGGAACGTCAAGGTAAACGATATGAACAGTTGCAGGAACGTATGTTGGAGCTGTTAAGGAAACAAATGAATTTGAACCCACGAGATTGTTCGTTTTCTGAGACTGTTCAGACTTTAAGCCAACACTTTGGAGACAACTCGTCACTATTTAATACTCGTTATCGATGTTTGAAGCTTATTATGAACGAAGATGATGATTTTCTTACGCACGTGGGCATCGTCAACCGTGAATGCGAACGCTTTCGGTTGAAGTCTTTGTCGGAAGACCAGTTCAAAGCCCTCATTCTCATCTGCAGCCTCCAGTCGAGTAAGTTCAGTGACATTAGAACAAGGCTACTAAGTCGGTTGGAGCAAGATCCAAAGCTTACGCTTAATGATATGGCTCATGAGTACCAACGTCTCACTGACCTACAACGAGACTCGACTATAGTTCAGAGTGGTAGTTCAAGCCGATCTGAAATTCATTTGGTACAGCAGCCACCTAATCATTATAAGTCTGCCCATGCTACACCCAGTTCACCCCGCTCCAATTCGGCCCAAAAACCCAAAATGAATCCACCTTCTGCTTGCTGGCACTGCGGTTCATGGCACTATGTACGGAACTGCCCATTTAGGCAGCATAGATGCAGGAAGTGTAAAGTCATCGGTCATAAAGATGGCTTTTGCCTACAGAAAAAGCCAAAGCGATCCAGAAGTGCTAAGAAGCCTCTTCCTAGATCCAGTACCAATGCATTGAGCCTAATATCTTCCTGCCAAAGTTCATCACCAGGTGAGAGGAAATTTATTACTCTTAATATTAACGGTTATTTGTGTAGAATGCAAATAGATACTGCATCTGATGTCACTATCCTCTCACGCAAAAATTGGACCAAGTTGGGCAGCCCAAGCCTGCAGCACACAACACAAAAGCCTCGCACAGCATGTGGTAATTATCTTCGTCTGTTAGGACAATTGGAATGTAAAGTTGCTTTCCGGGATTCGTCGTTTACTGGGGTATGCTATATAACGCCAGCTGATCTAAATTTACTTGGTTTAGATTGGTTCGACCAGCTAAAATTGGCTGATGTCCCGCTAAATACCATATGCAGCCTGGTATCACAACGACATGACCCAGAAGCGCATACGAAGAACCACGCAGAATGTTATCTGACAACCGCAGTTCGCGCATTACCGGTGTCTGCAACAGACATACAAAATGCTTCTAGAAACGACCCCATCATCAAGATGACGATGAAATATGTCACTAAAGGTTGGCCGTCGAAAAAGTTTGAAGGTGACATCAAGCAACGGTATCAGCGGCGGAATTCACTATGCATCGTGAACGATTGTCTCATGTTTGGTGAAAGAGTAGTGGTTCCAGCATCCCTTCGTGCAAAAGTGCTGAGACAGTTCCATCTTGGTCATCCTGGGATTAAACGAATGAAGTCCATAGCCAGGAGTTATGCATACTGGCCTCACATGGATCAACATGTCACAGCGTTGGTTGAAAAATGCATCCGGTGTCAGCAGGCGGCAAAGATGAATGCCAAAATTCCGCCGGTTTCATGGCCCAAACCTGAGCATCCTTGGTCCAGGATACATGTCGACTTCGCTGGCCCAATAAATGGAACTATGTATTTGATAGTCGTCGACGCCTTTTCTAAATGGCCGGAAATCAGCCCCGTTACGCCGCCCACTACAACTAAGACTATACAGCTCCTAACTGAAATTTTCTCACGGAATGGCATACCAGATGTGATCGTATCCGACAATGGCTCTCAATTCACCTCTTCCCAATTCCAGAATTTCTGTCAACGGCTAGCTATTAAACACTTACGCTCGCCACCATACCACCCGCAATCGAATGGGCAGGCGGAAAGGTTTGTGGATACGTTTAAAAGAGCACTGCTCAAGTCAAAAGGGGAGGGGACGCCAGCCGAAACGTTACAAAATTTCTTGTACGTCTATCGGACAACACCAAATGAATTGTTACCGGAGCAAAAGTCCCCAGCTGAAATCCTGATGGGAAGAAGATTGAAAACGATTCACAGCCTGATGCATCCGACCAATGCACCCTCATCAGTAGGGACAAAGCAGCAAAGACAATCCGCTTACGAGGTGGGATGCCCTGTGTTTGCCCGCGACTACAGAACGAACCATGGTCCTTGGGTAGAAGCGAGAGTGGTCAGAAGGGTTGGTCGAGTTATGTACGAAGTAGAGGTAGGAGGTGATAAATGGTCACGTCATCGCAATCAGATACGCAGACGGCTAGCCCCAGATCGCCCATCAAGAGCAGAAAGCCTTCCCCTTGACATCTTGCTTGATACCTTCAACCTACCGAGAGCCCCGCCACGGGAAGAAACTCAGCAGCCAGCTGTTCTTCGTTCCCGAAGGTATCCCCTCAGACAGCGGCGAACAATAGTCAAGATGCAAGTCGACCCCAGGAGAACAAGCTATTAAAAAGGGGAGGAGTGTTGGGGATGTTAGATCCCCAAAATTCGCATGATAATGCCGTATTTTGGTTTTTACGTTTCGCCAGCAGGGGCTGATCAAATGACCTTGAGATTTCAATTCCCACCAGGAAAATCAATGGCTGTGATTGGCCACAGTGTATTTTAGTATGCTATTTTCTTAACTGTCTCAAGGACGTTGTTATGTTGTATAAATAAACGAGAGTTGTATGCTTGATTGTACTGGGATTGCTGGGTGCTTGTAGAATATACTTTCTACGCTTACCAAGACTTCTGTTTTACCGTTGGATTCAAGGTAGCCTTCCTGGAAGCTGGTAAAAGTATCGTTCGCGTTTATCGACTAAGGTAAACTCGTAATAGCATCAAGCATACTAAGTGCCGAACATATCAAGTATTTTATATACTATCAGTCGTGTTCAGCTTCAAATAGTTTACGTTTACAATAATTTATGGGAAATAATGTAAAACGTTTAAAACTGTAAACCTTTTACTAATACTCTCATACAAGTTGAGTAAGTTTATTGGCTAGTTAGACAGTGTAGGTTATTGGAATAATGAGTTGGCCGCTTCGTGTTATATGGAATCGGGTTGAAGTGTTCCAATAGTGACACATTAACATTGAAATTAGATGACATTTAAACTGCTGAAAAGTCCCAAGTAAGAGTTGAACGCAAAATTTCGGATTTTAATTCTACTCACAGAATTAAGTACATTGTAAGAGTAGGTTCACAGTTAGTGAAGATGGAGAACAGACATTATTGTACATAGATATGATGGACATTGCTATAACAAAATAAATAGCGAACACTATATTTAAATATTGAAGTATATCACTTATCTAACTCATTTCACTCTACAGAATTAGAATCAAATGAATTCTATCAATGAAAATCAGTGAATCGATAGATCAGTCACAATTAAATTATGTCATGTGACTTTTTATGTATGTGTCTTATCTGCCCGACCGATTGTCTGTTTTAATTTCGAACATTCGTCAAAATTTTTCTTCCTGAAATTCAGTGTCAATCAAGTATTTCTTTTCTTTTTTTTTTAACTAAAAATTATTTATTGGTTAAGTCTACCGGAAATGAATGAACAGACAAAAATAAAAATTTATTAATGTTCTGTATAATTTCGATTTTAGTTTAGTTTACTTTTTTTTGAGCTTACAATAAAAACGAATCAATTGTTTGACTTGTATTCAATTTTCGAAATTGGAATTTACTTTTTAAGGTTGAGTGTTTGATATTTCACTATGAAAATTAAGCTGTACAACACACACACACACACGTTTTGCAGAATAGTCGACAAAGTTTACAATTGGACTTGGTTTTTTAAGGTTTTACAAGTTTCATAAGTTGTTTTCGTATGAGATCAGGAACGATATCATGGACTGATTGATTGGTTGATGTAAATTAGTTCAGAAGAACATTGATTCTAGGCTTTAACTACTCTGTTTATACGAAGAAATCATCAAACAACCATTGTCAGACCAATATCAGAAACCTGGAAACACTGGACGGCCGTTTCGTCGTAGTATAGGAACTCATTAGCAGTGCACATGCCACGACGTCAGCTACTCGCAGGATTCCAACCCAAGACCTTCCTGTCTTGAGCGTAAAACGCCCTAACGTCTGGACCACTTGGTTGGTATCCAACGATGTTAATGTCCAACTCTGACCTATACCTTAGGATTTGGTGCAACCTCACCCATTGGTCTTTGGTAGTCGGATGGATTGCGCCGACAGTGTTTGAACTCCACTGGTCACGTCTCGACTTTATTTATGAGGATTTTCATAGGATCAGTAATCATCAATGATAGCAAAATCTGCATTTAAATAACTGTAATATGATAAAATATTTATTGTTCTTTTTGTTTTTGGAGAACAAGGTGGAAATTTCCACCCCCAAAGGATTTTTCCTAACTTCTTCCTCAGCTAGAGAATTTGGTTTTGTTCTTTGCTAAAGTAGGCTGTTGCTGATGGTGCCTGATCAATGGATCCACAGTATTTTTAGATCGACAATTTGTTATTAAAAATCTGTATCATGTGAGTGATGTCTTTTGTAATCCTCCAACTTTCAACTCCACAGAGTCAGAACTATCTTGATGTTTGTAATTGAAAATTGTGATTCTGTGTGTTAGTCGAGAGACAGTTGATTTGAATTTCAGATGTTCTTTAATCGTAAAAATTGTTTGCCCTTCTCCTAAATCAACCCCTATATTTACATCGGAGTCATATTCTCTTCGTTTATCAATGATGTTGCCAAAAATATGAAAAGGTTTCCAACTTCTCCGGAGGTTCTAAGGTGTAAGATTCGTTGATGAACGTAGTTTTATATCGGAAGATCTTGCTTTTTCTCTATGTATATGTTGAGGCCTACTGCTGCAGACACTTCTTGCTGCGCTTGCCGCCTACCACTGTATATGTGGCTGAGTGGTGGTATACAAGAGTCATATCATCTGAGAAGTCCATATCGTCCAGCTGCATCCGAGCTGTCCACCGAGGCCCATGCTTTTACTGAGATGCTGAGGGTCTTCATAATTCAGGCCAACCTCCACAAG